CTGCATGATGCATTTTAATATTCATTTTTAAGCATCCATTCTACCTCATACCTTGTTGTTCATTTGTTCATGTTGATGCCAGAATTTTATGCTCGGCCGTACGATCCGCCGTATTTATCGACGAGCAAGTTCATGGTTGGGACGGTCGAGCAAGTTCATGGTTTCAACATGATACGTACGTGCGTTCCAGTATTTGGTTTTACATATGGGGATGTCATTCAAGGGTGATTTTTATCCATTATTTGAGGCATCCGTTTGAACAGTCTCAAAACATTCAAAACAGGTGCTCCAAAAAGTGCGTAAATACACTCTTGAAATGATATCCCCAAAATGTGAAACCAAATATAAAGGGTTGCTACGCAACCCAAAAATCAAGTCGCCATCACCCTCGCTTATGGTAATACGCCTAGAAAAACTCTCGTCGTCGCGAATTTTACTGAAGAAGCGACACGTGTGTCCTGAAAAAAAGCTTGGAAAGGTGGAACTACGTGCTACGCCAACCTTGTAAGGAAACCAAGTGCACTCGAAATCAAACCATTCAGTATTTTGTGCGACTGGACGGGTTTCCACACACGAGAGTCGAAGACATCGCCCCAGTTGTTACAAAGGATCAATTTCGTCACTGAGACATGAACCGACACTTTTGCATGGGTTACCTAAACTCAATACCAGCGAAACCTTCGCGGAGTGATTTGAAAACCAAAGGGTCATCGCTTATGGAAAGACCCGCCTTGGGCTTCTCCCATGTGTCAGCTGTATTTCTGTTACCACAAGCTGTTGGGGGTTGCGTTGGTTTTGGAGCACGCCCCAATTGCTTCCGTCCTAACTTGCCATCTCCCAGGCTCCGAGCCCTTCATTGCGGGGAATACGTGGCTGAGCAGAGAACGTAGACGAGTGAAGAGAGGGCAAGGAGAGGAGATAGCTGCCGCAGCCATCATCTGCTAAGGTCTTCTTTTCCAACATTTCTACAACCATACCTAGAACCTGAGGTACTATGGCGTGTTTGCATATCAATAGCCTTCCTGAGGAGCTACTCATTGCCGTTTTCTGGCCCTCCAAGCGTCTCTTCTCTCGCGAGCCTTTCGATGAGGATGTGTGGGCCGCCGTGCGGCCTCCCCCGAGGTTCAATAGCGAGGATCCAGACGAGGCATGCTACCAGCAGAGCGAGACCATGTTTCCAGCTCCTCCTCTTCCCCCAGCATTCGCCGACGCCGCGTACAATCTTCTCATCGCGTCGACTTGCCGTCGCTGGCGCTGCCTGGCTCGGCGCCACGTGTCCACGCTCCTTGTCAAGTCGAACCGCGCCGTGTCTCTCAAGGATCTCGCGGCAGCGGTGGATTGCTTCCCCAAGCTCACGCACCTCCATCTCAGCGACGGAAGCGCGCAAGCCATCGACGACACTTTCCTAGCTCGCCTCGCCGCGTGCTGCCCGAATCTGACGGCGTTCCACCTCGGAAGGCCGATAGTGGAGAACCCTGAGTCCGACCAGGCGGGGGAGACCTTTCTCACGCCAGCCGGCTTCGACGTGTTCTTCCGCCGGTGCACGCGGCTGGAGCACCTCTCGCTGGCCTGCCTGCACTGCGAGTTCCGGTTACCTTCTTCGCTCTTCAAGCTCGTGCATCTCCGATCCCTCACAGTTGCCGATCTGCCCGTGGTAACAACTCCAAAAGTCAAGAACTTGAGCGCTCTCACATTGCTCTGGATCGACTCGGTGGGGGACTATCAGACCCTGGAGCACCTCGCGCACCTGCCACGCCTCACGCATCTCTCCGTGCCAGAAGACGTCTCTCCTTGGCAATACCACTCCGCCTCTCCTCCCTTCTCATTCGCACGCCTATCTTCGCTCAAGTCGCTGAATCTCGGGAAAGCCTGCCCGCCGTTCGATGAGATGTTTCCTCCCGAGTCACCGTGCAGCCTGCTCGAGCGTTGGCGATTTTCCAGTGCGACGACTTCCACACTGTCCTGGACGACACCTGCCATCGCATGCCGTGTCTCCACGAGCTGAGCATCGATGCGAGCGGTACCTTCTTCGACGTACCCGAGCAGGCCACCGCGCTGACCCGCCTGCGCACCTTGAAGCTCGAAAACTGCACGGTCCTCGGACTGCCGGACAGCTTCGGCCAGATGCCCATGCTGACAACGCTCGTGCTGCACAATCTGAACACCCATTTCCCTGGCTCGTGCAGCCGGCTGCAGTCTCTTGAGACGCTGATAGTCACGGACTGTGCGTATCTGCGCGAGCTACCAGACCCGCTGAGCGCCCTCACAGCGCTCAAGACCCTGTGCCTCGCGAATTCCCCCTTGCTCATTCTCCCTGACGACATCGGAGGCCTCACCAACCTCCACACGCTCTACCTGAAATCGTACAGGGCACGACATCTGCTTCCGCCCTCCTTCACCCGGCTCGCTTCACTCACAAGGCTCGAGCTGCATAAGTGTGAGCTGGCCGAGCTGCCAGAGGCCATGGGGGAGTTGACACGCCTGCGGGAGCTGTATGTGCTGTCCTGCTCTCGGATCCAGAGGCTCCCCGAGTCCGTGTCAGCCCTACTGAACCTAGAGGTGCTAGTGGTGGACAAGTGCAGCAGCCTGTTCTCAGTCCCCACGAGCCTCATGCATTTGTCAACACTGAAGCAGCTGGAGCTGACCGGCTGTGCGCTGCTGAGAAAGGCTCCAGAGTTCTTGCCGGGGTCGCTGGAAACGCTCAGGCTGGGGACCTATCCGGAGGTCACCCATCTGCCGGGTATCTATGCTCTTTCCAGCCTCAAGTCAGTCAGTTTGAGCATGGTGATTTTCCCCTCCGCTTTGTCCAGAAGCTTGTCTTCATTGGAGCACTTGCGTCTGGTGTTGGCATGTGAGGGCGAGCTCCCATTCCCATTGGCCGACCTGCCTCGTCTTCGCACCCTCGCACTCGTGAGCACCGGAGTCGTGAAGCTTCCAGACTTCTCCACCTCGACGCTGCAGGAGCTGCGTCAGCTGGAGATATGCTTGCCTGAGCTGACGGAGATCCCGTCAACCATCGCAGCTCTTCAGAAGCTCACAAACCTGGAGATCAACGCTCCTAAACTGCATGCGCTTCCCAATTCCATCAGGGCACTGTCCCGACTGTGCAAGCTGATTATGTCCAACTGCTTAGCGCTCGCGCATCTCCCTGCCTCTCTCACGCAGCTGGCATGCCTGCGCGAGCTGACCGTGCACAAGGCCGCCATCACATCCCTCCCTCCCAACTTTGCACGCCTCAGCCGGCTGCAAGCGCTCGACTTGGAGGGGTGCAAGCAGCTGGAGGTGCTGCCTGGCGATGTGGGCAAGCTGGAGCTGCTGGACCATGTGGCTTTTACAGGGTGTGACAAGTTGCACGACAATGAAGGCATGCTGTGCTTTCCTGGGGGACATACGTCATATCGGTGGATGTACTACACGTAATTTTGGCATATCATTGAGAGACCTACTGGTAATTGTCCATTCTAGTGGCAGACCCATTGTAGTGGCACCAGACGATCACATCTTGAGTATTGCAAGCAGATTCTGACGGAGAATTACCCTATTTGGTACACATGTTTACGAATACAATACTGGATCGGAATTGTACCTTGCTCCAGCCATGCCTACGGCATGTACGTAAGATGAGCAGCTGTTCGAGTAATCTGTACATTATCTCAAGCAAAACAGATTTGTGCATCGGGTCTGGGTATGCATCCGCTTGTTCATAGAGGAGCATGCAGACTTCTTTCTGGAATAGAGGGTGTAACGGCAGCTTCTGGTGGTACCCTGCAGGATATAGGGAGGGTTCAAACTTTTGAACTTCAAAGAGATGAAAGCAGATTTGAGCAAGGAGAGACGTATGCGGGCGTGGAACAGTTTTCAGGATGTGAAGGCAAGATAGTGTGGTGCAGGAGAGGGTCTAGACAGGTTCGGATGCACATAGAAAGGTTCGGGAGACAAGCATGGTGCGAAGCGGTGACTGTGGGTGCATGCCATGCCTTGGACTGTCTTACATGGGAGAGAAGACAGAGAAGAGGGATAGGGGCGATTTGGGAGAGAAGGGAGGCAGAGGGAACACATGAAAATGGAGGATGGGGTGAATTGAGTGCGGCAGTGGTGTCTAGACAGGCGAAAAATTGAAGCATGGAACTAACTTAGTAGCTGCAGGTTCAGCCAAAGGTGATAGAGATTAGGAACGGCTTCACCTGAACCAATTTTCAAGTCGACTGGAAAATTAGGCGGCTTCTGGATGGGGTGGATGGGGCGGATGGGGCACCTGGGGGGTGCGTGGGGTGGGGGTGGTGGGTTTGGGGAAGCGGGGAGAAGGGGGGAGGGGGGACGACTCCAAGTAATAAGCAGCTTGCGCATCACCATGCGGTCTGCTGGCCTACAGTCCTCACACAGAGGGGAAAGTGTGGCAGTGGCACAGAGGGGAAAGTGTGGCAGTGGCACAGAGGGGAAAGTGTGGCAGTGGCACAGAGGGGAAAGTGCGGCAGTGGCACAGAGGGGAAAGTGTGGCAGTGGCACAGAGGGGAAAGTGTGGCAGTGGCACAGAGGGGAAAGTGTGGGGGTGGTTTGAGACGTCTCAACACTGGTGTGCCTGCTCCTCGGCATGCACTCACCCCACCCGCCAGCTGCAAACGAGCCTACCCGCTGCAGGTCCTGTACCTACCTGACCCAGACAAACGCTCCCCTGGTTTCCCCCTTGCCTGAACCGGCTGTGCCTCTCTATGAAAGCTCTTGGGCCCCTGCGCACATGCTGGTCGACGCCACCAGGCCTGGGGGGTTGCACTTATGTGGAGAGCTGGCTCATGAAGAGGCAGGCTTAAGGGAGGCTGCACTAGCAACCGAATCCCACTGCCTCCTGAGGGAGCTGGCTCCTCCAGGCAAGGGCCGGGTGAGGGAGTAGATGGTCGGGGGAGTGGGGTGGCAGAGAACAAAGGGGAACTTTCCCACTTTTTGCTTCTTCGACCTGGGTTTAGTGACCGAGCAATCGCCTCTTACGACCCCCATATCCCCTTATGCCCCAACGCCTGTTAACCTTTCATTATCCTGCCTATGCCCTCGTCCCCTGCCCTCAGTCACACGTAGGCGCGACCACTCACGCATGTCCTGCCCCGGCACCCTTCATCCCCCCGTCTCCCCTAATCCTTCTTCCCCTCCTCCTTGTCCCCCCGTCGCTAAACAGAGTTAGTCCCACAATCATCCCTTGTCCCATGAGTCACCCTCGCATTTGCATGGTGGTCCCAGTAACTTGCGAGTGGGGCCACCCCTCTTTCCCATTTTGCGTCTTAACCGTCACCCTTTTGACCGAGCAATCGCCGTTCACAACCCCCACATCCCTTTATGCCCCCACTCCTGTGAACCCTGCGATATCATTCCCATCCCCTCGTCCCCTGCCCTCACTCACGCACAGGTGCGGCCACCGTGTCGCGCATGTCCTGCGCCAGCACCCTTTATCCACCCGTTTCCCTAACCCCAACTTCCCCTCCTCCCCGGCCCCCCACTGCTTAGGTATCATCCCCACAATCATCCCGTATCCCATGGCTCACTCAACTGCAGGCGCGGCCGCTCGCCCATGTCCTGTGCCAGCTTGCGCAGCAGCATGCGGCCTGCTAGAGGGGGAGAGGGGAGAGGGGGAGGGCGGAACGACTTATAACCAGCTTGCGCTGCACGATGCGATCGATCTGCTATTGCTGGCACACAGCCCTCACACACCTCGTTGGGGAGGAGGGGGGGATTTGGAGAAGCGGGGCTGGGAGAAAGGGGGAAGAACGACTTCAAGTTATGACCAGCTTACACAGCACCATGCGGTCTGCTGGCATGTGGTCCTCATACACGGCATGTGGCTGGGTGAGGAGACGGGCGGAAAGAGCACGGGGGAGAGGGAACAGAGGCACCATACGGTCTGCTGGTTTTTGAGAATTCTCAAAAAACAGACACCATGCGGTCTGCTGGCACGCAGTTGTCAACACAGGCTTGTACGTCTAAAAAAAAAAAGAACCAACCAAACCCCCCTTCCCTCCCCTTCTTTCTCCCCTCGCCCCACCTTTCCCCGCCCTCCCCACAACTATCCCCGCGCGACTCTCCCCTCGCCCCTGGCGCACCTTGAGGAAGGCGTCCGCGATCTCGCCGCGGAAGCACGTGCTTTCGTCCTCCATGGCCTCTTTCCCCCTTCACCCTCCCCTCCCCCAGTCCTCTCCCAACACTCTCCCTGCCCCCCCACATCTCCCCTTCCCCACAGCCACGTCCCCCTGCCTCGCCCGCACCTCAAGGAAGGCGTCTGCAATCTTGCAGCGGGACCACCCGCTCTCACTCTCCATGCCCATCTGCCACCGCCGCTCCGCCTCGTGCGGCCTCCTAGATCATCATGCCATCAGCACCAGCCATATCTGCAAGCACCTTTACTCGCAACAGGCGCACGGAGATTGGTGCGCGGCAGTAGAGAACGGGGGGGAGGGGAGGAGGGAGGGAGAACACCGGGGGAAAGGGGGAAGACCGGGGGGGGGGGGGGGGGGGGGGGGGGGGGGAGGGGGAAGATCGAAGCGAGAAAAGAAGGGGAATTGAGCGGAGCGCGCGAGCAACAAAAACGGGGAATGACGACCAAGGACGGACGGACAGCGACGGATAACGAAAGGCACGGGCCGACAATGACTGACGTGACCAACAATGACAGACAAACACAGCGAGAGCGCGTGCTCCTCCTACACCGCCATTTCAGATGAATGTTAGGGAACAAAATACAGACTCCAAATAGTTTCTCGAGACTACTGGACGCACCTGCTGCACCATCATGCCGCGATGCTCCTTGGCAGCTGGATGGTCTGCATGAGAGGACTGGGGGGTAGTAGCTCACCTGACTCGGTAGTATGTAACTAAGTCAGATGTACAGAGAAGACAGCAACAACTGGGCTAAGCTGGCATAAGCGTTGCGGAAACAGTAATTGACAATTGGAACCTTACCTCACCATATCGAGCGCGGCTCGCATGAGCGCGACTCGCACCTCCATACCTTCCTCCTTTTCCCCCCCTCTTCTAGCCCCTCCTCCCCCCTTCCCCACTCCCCTCCTAGCCATCTCCCAGCCCTCTCCCTGGCCCCACATCTCCCCTTCCCCACGCCCACGTCTCCCTGTCCCTCAACCGCACCTGGAGGAAGGCATCGGCGATCTCTTCGCAGGAGAACCCGCTCTCATTCTCTATTCCCATCTGCCACCGCCGCTCCGCCTCGCGCGGGTTTGATCATCAGCGCCAGCCGCGTCTGCATGCACCGTTACGTGCCGCAGGCGCACAGAGATTGGTGCGGCGAGGTTGGTGCGCGGCAGGGTAGGGGGTGGGGGGAAGGGGGGAAATCGAGTTGAGGGCAGAAGGGAGGTGTTCTAAGCGCAAGAACGAGGAAGACTGACAATGGCGGACATGAGCAACAGATATGGCGAGAGCGCGTGCTCCTCGTACACCACCATTTTGCGATGCAGGGATCGAAATGCAGACTAGAAGAAGTTTCTTGAGCCTGCTGGTCAGCTGGTGCACATGCGTGATCGCACCTCCTGCGCCGTCATGTCGCGACGCTCCTTGAGGGGCTCGATGGCCTGCATGGGAGGAGTGGGGGGTGGGAGCTCGATGATTTTGTAGTATGTAACGAACTCGAATCACAGCGAGACAGCGATTACTGAGTTAAGCTCACAAAAGTGTTTCACGGAAACAGTCCTGACAATCAGAATCTAGCCTATGAATCAAGCTCGACTCGCATGAGGGACTGCTGGTCGGGAGCTTGTCTGATAGCGGGGCTTAGCTCACACGAATGTTCCGCGAAAACAGTGAATTCTAGTGGCATGAAGAGAAACTGATGAGGAAAAAGAATGCAGAATTGGCGACTGACCTCGCGATTAGAAAAGGCAGCGGAACTGATAGTAAGGCGAAGATGTTTGGTGGTGGAACATTTCTCTCGATACGCGCGGAGGAAAGTAAGAATGTATTGGACGTGCACGTACTAAATCAACTAAATCACGTACTAAAACAGCGGGGAGTTCCAGCATTCTCTCATTGTGAGGCCAATGGTTCGCGAATGATGCACGAGTATATGCGATTCTAGGACCTAGGATGCTAGTGTGGAGGTTGGATGGAAGGTAGTGTTCGAATTCCATTGTAGAATGTTGTCACAGCAGACTCAACGAGGAGCTGGTTCCGGTGCAAACTGTGTCGGCTCAGGTTCGCAACAAGTACAGAATGAGGATAAGGAGCTAAATCTGGTGAGGAGCAGGGAGGGAACAAGGAGCAGGGATTGAGCTATCCTTTCAGCAGCGTCGATGACTTGTGAGAGCTGTCAAAAGCGGCAATGATGATGACGGTGCCGTTGCTCGTCATATTGACTCGCCATCGCCAGCTGCTCGTGCAGCTTCGACGCCCGCGATGCTCGGGAGGCCGCCTCTCGCAACCTACAATTTCGGCACTCGCAAAGCAGTTGGCGACGCACGGGACACTCGCTCGACTCGCCGTCGCCAATAGGAAACATTAGGGATGACCGCCAACAGTGTTAGTGCTACTATCGCTGACTGGGCGAAGTTTATGTTTCTATTAAGACTATCCAACGAGCAGGTGGAAGAATCATGGCCAGGAAAGTAAGAAATTGGCAGGAAGCTGCGGGAGGGAGGCCGGCAGAATAGAGCGCCGTTTCTTTCTCTGATGCCTCCTGCTGTCAATTGCGCATTCGTGCCTTTTGCGGCGGCGCCGTCGCGCAGGAGGGATTGTGGAAGGGCGAAGAAGGATGGGGAGTGGGGAGGAGGTGCGAAAGTGATGTCCCCTTCGTAATACGAATGTTCTACCACGTTCTCACATCCTGTAGCTAGTACGGATTAAATTGTGAGCATCACATGCAAGTGCCATCTTGCCGATTTTGTAGTCAACTTGAAATTCGCACGATGGAACTCTATCAACTCTACCATATCGTTTTTGAGCACTTCACGATTTAAGGTCACGATAAGGCAGGTCGCGGGCTGAGCAGTACGTCACGGGCTGAGCAGTAAGTAGTTCGCTATGTCGCCAGGTCGCCAAATCGCTGGTCGCTAGTGCCAATAATCCTCTTCAATAGCTACTTGCTCTTTGTATACTGGAAGATTTGCTGCAGGGTCCACTAGGGTTTCGATTCGTTCCGTTACTGCGAGAGAGAATGAAGAGGTCGGTGTTCGTCAAACAGGGTCAGCTGCTGTCCTGATTCGTCTAAGTCGCAGACCTGGCGGGATTTTTTGGTAGCTGGACACGCCCTGCTGGCATGCCACGCCACCATAGAAATTTGTCACCCTAGAAATCGCGAGAGAATGGTAACTTGACAGTCCATTCGCATCCGTCGGGATCCACACCACAATCCACGGCTGAATGGGAGGTCGCAACTCGCTAATTCCACGTCACCAACCCTGGTTGGGATGTTGGAGCCACGCAAGAGATCTGCAAAGAAATTCTGGCTAGGAACTGGGCGATCATCATCGCCCTCAACTCCCACCCTCACCTCCCTGCTGCTGTCTTCTCCACTTCATTTCCTAGCTTAGTAGCTTCCTCTCGGGATTCCTCGTCTGCTGGTAACACTATTTTTTTGGTTTAACCGTCTACAGATATTAGGCTGTAGAATTAGGATCGGCTCTGTGACGCACACAAGTTCACAAACGATTAAAAACAACCATTTCCTGGAATCGCTGCACGTCGATGGCAACTTCGGACGGCGCGGGGCGCTTCATTCGGCTCAGCTTACTCATCTTTCTGACGTGTCTCGCCGTGGTTTCTCCAGTCCGCTGTGTCCCGTTCGTCGACTCCCAAGGTTCGTCCGACGAACCTTTTGTTTCACCCCCGTACTATGATGTACTTGTTCTGCTAGATATAGAGCTGTAGAGCAAATTTGTAACAAGATGGCATTCGCCATGCCTGCGTGCATGGGAATACCCGAACGGTTGGAACCTCCCTTTGCCTAGGTAGCTCCCTTTCCCTTATCCTCGTCAGTGATTAGATGTTACTAAAATCGGCAAGCAGGACATGGCATCGAAGGCGTTATGCCAAGATGCCATGCTAGATTGAGTGGCGATACGGTTTTCCCCCAAGTCGCCATCCCTTCTTCCTAGCATTAATATCCACCTCAAAATCTTGTATTATAATCTCATCCTATTCTATCCTTGGAGTCTTTAATCCTATCTTTTTGCAAGTCTTCTTCTCTCTTCTCTCATCTACGTCTCCAGAGCTGGGCTTCTCCCTCCAGCCTAGCTCCCTTTTCTTCTGCTGCAAGACTCTCCTCTTATTCTTTCTTAGCTAAGGCGCGGCGCCTCTCCTTAGGCGCTGGGCCGGCCAGGCCAGCCGCGCCGTGCATCGCTGCGCCGTGCATCGCTGTTTCAAAATTGAATGTAGCAGAACCTAATAGTACATAGTATGGGGGCCAACATTTTTGGGATCAGTGGCCCGCCCTCGACCCCCACCACCTAATCTTCCTGTATATTGCGCTGATAAATCTCATGTCTTCTGGATCCTTGGTGATGGTAGTATGATGCATTCCAGCAAGGGTTCCATAGAGGCTCACGCACCACGATGCCACCACCATGACGCGGACGCATTCGGCTTGGTTGCCAGCGCGCGTCATACTGATCTACAGAGTTTCCGCTGTGTTTCCTTTGGTTGAGCTCATGCCGCACGAGCAAAATGCCATGCACGATCATTGTGGGTTCAGGTTCAGCAGTGGCACCAACCTTGCCACGGCGGCGGATCATCAAACTCAAGTGACGCCATCAGCGATAGCGATGAGCATGAAAGTGGGCCAGGGCCCGCCCGAAAATGCCCCGGGCCGGGCATTATAAGAGGCGGGCCGGGCGGGCCGCATCGGATCGCAAAAATACAACAGAAACAGCCCAAAAATACATCCTGTGGGCGATTATGACAGCACCCGGGCCGGGCACGGCCCGCCCGCCTTGAGGGCGGGCTCGGGCCAAGAGTTTCCTTCTATGGCCCGGGTCGGGCCGGGCCAGCCCGGCCCGCTTTTTTGCGCAGCCCGGGGTGGGCCCGACCCGGGCCGGGCCCGGCCCGCCCGGTGCTCAACGATAACCTATCGCATGTATCCATCAGAATCGTGTTTCTATTTGAATAGTTTTCCAACGCCTGGTGTTTAGAAGCTTGTGCGACCAATTTCAAGTTTGACATTGCACCTCTCTGCTCTACTGATGTCTGGTGCAGGGGTTGAAAGAGGGAGGGAAAGCCATACGAAGCGTTGATGAGCTGATACATTCATCTCTTCTTTTTCTTGCTCCATTGCAGCCTCTCTCCTACCTGCTAGCGCAATCAGTGCAACTCCTGCTGGCTGGAACTCCAGCAAGCAGAGGGGGCGGATTTGATGTATGGGTGGCTTGCTGCCATGGATGGATGCAGCAATACCAGGGCGTTGTGGCTCATTTACGACCACGAGTACTAGTATTCGTAGTAAAATAACTTGGTGGAGTGCCTAAAAGAGCTCAGGAATGCTCATGCCCAACGATATATACCTCCTATTTGACCTCGTTACTGTTTACACCTCTTATCTTATGTCGTTATCAACGGACAGGTCAGTGGCCACCGCATGCCCATGCTCCCATGCGCACAATGCCTATCGTTGTGGTACTTTTAATCTGCGAGTCACGGTAGTTACTTCACCATCGCATGCATCCATTCCGCACTTGTGGCACAGGCTGATGAGTGAGGGAGGAAGAGAAGGGTGCAACACGCAGGTGATGAGAGCCAATTTATCCCTCCTTTGTTCCCTGCCCCAGCTTCTATCCTTCTCTTGCCCTCCTGCCCCCCTCTCCCCCACCATTTGCCACCAGTGCGAGTCCTGCAGGACTTGCAGCAAGCGTGGGGGCAGAATTTCTCTGGGTGGGTGGCTGGGGGGGACTGCAGCTGGGCCTCTTATGTGACCTGCGATGCCCAAGGCATGGTGACCGACATGTGAGAGCACCAACTCTAGCTGGTCTTGCATCCCCCATGTGTGAACCAACTCTTGCTGGACTTGACTTGAGTGCCTGCACCTTCTCTCCCTCCACCATTCTGCGTGCTCTGCGTTTGCACTCCCTTGTTGCATTTTGGAGAGCTAACCCTTGTCGGCCATGCACTCTGCGTGTTTTCTTTGTATTTCTCTTGCATTCCCTTTCTTCTTTAACCGCTCTTGCCATTGTCCCTCCCTCTTCCAAACTGACTGTCTGCTTTGATGAGCCCATTAGGATGGTCCTACTGTTCTTGAAGGC